TAATCGTGGCAGCCCTAGTCATAATAATACATGTATAATTACAAAAGGCATACTAAGAAGTAGTAATGCTATATAAATGATAAATGAAACACTTGCTAATACCTTCCCAGGGGTATGAACCATTACCAACCTTAATAATGCTTAATATTGTAACATTATAACAAAGTGCTGATCAAATTCAAACACATTATAGTAACCACTAATTCTATTGTAATCCATTTTATAATAATGTGCGTGTTCATCGGTGTCACAGCAGTCACCTCAAAATAAGTTCTATTGTCTGTTTTCCATTGAACGGCATTAACAGTATTATCCAACTGACGTGGTCGGACAACACAACCGGAGATCTAGTTCACACAGACCATTACGCGGCCTCAGTGCCGAACACTCGAGTACCTCCTTGGCACTACTATTGCAAATAATCCTCTGCCCTACTCGTCTGCCCCTTTTTAACCCCAATTTTCAAAAGTTTGAATGAAGAACACACGAGTGAGGAACATCTTAAGTTGCTTCATCACAACATTGAATCATTTAGTTTCTAAATAGCTTTCCTCCTGGTACCAACTCAATATGATCTTCATCTTTTATTCAACAAGGTGCGCTTTTTGTGGAGTGAAGAGGGCTCGAGTGCCATGACGGATCAGGCAAATGGAGTCTGAAGAGCATTTACATAAAACGTATCAATTCATTTTTTGGTTAGATTCAGTTACAAAACTACGACAACAACCGGAGGTGACTGCTGTCGTTAAAATGCACATCTTTGTACACTTTATTTTGGAGAAATGCACTTCTCCAATCACCATGTTCCCTTACTATAGAGGTGATAAGTTTTCATCTGTGAAAGCTCATCGTCCTGTTGTTGTTTCAATGTTTGAGAAATCTCCGTAAACCAAATTTCCTTTAACGTTTGGTTTTACTTTTCTCTGTATGGTCGAAGCCCAAATTTGATCCTGCTTGTTTACATCAGCCTTCATGCCCTTGCTCTTGGTCACAAACAGTTCCTATTGTTGCCTGAACCTGTGAAATCTGCTGTCAAACGGTGCCAACGAGTCCATGAGCAAGGATGTCAAACTGAAAGATATGATGAACACAAAAGTGAGTTGTTTTCACAGCAGGAGAGGAAAGCGTAACAGCAGTGCAGTCATGTCGGACAGTCAGCTTTTATACGAGCTGTGTCACTGTGACAGAACCTGAATGTGTGGACGTGCCGGGATAAGGTCGAGATGTTAAATATAGTCCACAGTTCTACATCACAGAAACCCCCAAACTAGTTTTTGTTGTGACTGATCAGAGTCGTGCATTTTAACAGAAAAGTGCAAAACACACCAGAATTCTCACAACGAATCGCCTCCATAAACAGCTCCTCGTCGCTGCGAAGCGTCGGTGTGATTTGCTGGACTGAACTAAAAACCAAATCCTACTAAAGGCTTTGAGTGATGCTGCAGCTTTAAAAGGTTCTCGTGCATTTTCAGGACTTCCTGTATAGAGAAGTCTCTTCCTGCAGTAAAGAGAGATCTGAGTGTAAAGGCAAAGATGTCGACCTACAGGTCAGTCTACGTTCTTACCACCATGAGCTCTGGGCAATGACCAAAGAAGACGACATTTCTTAGACCTAACCTGACCCGACCCCAAAGTTTGGCGTGCTCTAAATGGGAAACTTTACTGTTGGGTCTTAACAAAGCTGCTTTTAAACTAACTTTGTCAGTAGTAAACTTAAAAACACTGAGCACGTGTGAGTATGAATTACTGCCATAAGGTACTTTCATGCCTCAGCACTCTGGATTTATCAGCGCCTCCCAAACACATTGCCTCTTGTGATTATATGGAAATAAGAACAACGTGGCGTTTATAGGAGCAACGCGGTGACAGGTCTGGAAAATTGCGTCTAATGTTATTGAGAAAAGCAGAACACTTCAGTGTGGCTATATGTGGAAGCACATATAAAAATCATTTAGGGACAGAGAAAGGAAACGCTGACTTTGGGCTGAGTCGCCATCAATTAAAAACACAACAAAGAACTATTTGCACTGTGTTATTTTTCACTTTACATCAACATATTTTTAAAAAATCATTTTCTTGAACGCAGCCATGTTAAGTTTTCAAAATAATCTGTCAGCGTGACAGAAGCAGTGAACGATCTGTAACACACAGGTCTGCAACAAGCATTAAGGAAGAGCGATACGTCGAATGAAGCGAATAAACTGCACTCGACCTCGTCTGCTGTGAGTGTGGGGTCGTTTAACGTGTCTCTCCTGGTATTTATGATGATGAACACCAACACATGTGGCTGCTACATGTGTTGGTGTTTATCATCTGCACTGAATGTGTAACATCTGAAGGAATCACTTGGATGTTATTGGTGCTAAAAATGAACCTTACTCGATGTTTAAAATATTCTATTTCCATATTTCACTCTGAATGATTGTGATGTTTTCTTTAGATGCACACACATTGGTTTTGCTTCCTCTCTGCAACAAACTGAAGTTGTACAATGGTCAAAGCCAACAGAGCAACCTAAGCGCAGGTCCACAGCTTCCAGTGCAGCTTCACTTTTCTATACATGCCTCCGTGTGAGAGCCGTTTCCACGAAGCCCCTTCAGCCCACTCTGGGACTGGTTTCCAAGAGCATCACAGAGCATCCGCGGCGCTGACCATTTCACAGGATGAAAACGTATGTGATCCGTTTCCAGATGGCACAGATGGGAATGGATCGACTTTGTTACTTGTGTGAGTCACACATTGCCTACACAGTATGCAGACTACACGTTCAGCTCCTGGCAGTTACACGGAGCTCTTTGTGAGACTGTTGTGGCAAATATGTTAAATAAAAATGACTTTTCTTTGTTTTCTACTGGACACATTTTATGTGCATCTGTGGTCATTTGCGGCGGCGCTCTGTTGCAGATGTTTCAGGAAACATTTACGTCAGAGTGATTCTGAAAAACATCAGCAAAACTTCTTCGTCACCAACCAACCACTCAAAGATCCAGCAGAGCATTAAAAACACCAGGAAGCTTTTAAATGAGCAACCAGTCAAACCCGACCGAAGCGCAAACTTTTAGCTTTAGTTTAAGAGCTTCTGTGCATCTGTGTAGAAACTACTAGAGGTGAGAATCACCATACATACGATATTATCACAATACTTAACGCACGATATGATATTATTGCAATTTTTTAAAATATTTTGCGATATTCAGATTCTGTACATAAAGGTAAACTTTATCAATATTCATTTT